AGTGATATTTTCTGAAGAAGCAAAAACCTATGTGAAGAAAGGAAAAGAAAAATGACCCAACTCGAATGAATGTCTGAAAAGCTCATATTGGCTAAGTCAATGTCTGATAAGCTCTCATTATAACTTGATAAAATCTAGTTGTACTATGTATTTTTTTATTTTAGTTGAACCAAATAATATATAGTTGTACCATGTCTTTATAGTTAGTTGTGTACTAAATAACATCTAGTTGTACCATGTATTTTCAGTTGTGCCAAATACTACTACAGAATATTACCATGTTTTTTAATTGTACCATCGTGAGCAGAAGGGAGTACACCAGAATATAGAGAAATACAACAGAAGGGATTATTTACAGATTAGAGTATATGAGCCATTTATCCACCCAACTCACCTCGGCGCTAAGCTTGGTTGCATTCCTCCAAGTTTCTCGGCCCATGGACTAAAAGCCCATATTATTAAAATAACTGCACGGTAACGAAGACTTGTGCGTCAACTCTTGCGCTTGGGTTGTGAACACATTTATTCGACAATGTAATGGATACACTCGGTCTAATTCCGTCAAAAAGAAGTTATCTCAATTCTCAATTCCGTNAANAAAAAAAAAAAAAGGTTATCTCAATTAAACGAAGTTCACGCATCTATATATAAAGTTGGAAAATATAAAAATCTAAGAATCTAAAAAAAGTCTACATCAAACGAATATTTACATACATTTTACATAGTAGATACCTTTTAATTATATACCCTTGCAACTAGAATATACAAGTTGTCACTATAATATAACCAAACAAATCCTTAATATGTAAAACGCAATTAAACGGATACCACAGGCGTTGAATCAGCTAACTGATAGATTAGTAATAGAATAAACCCCAAAATTTTGTAAAGGGGAAAGACTATAATTAACAAAAAGTCTTAAACTTGGTTTATTAATTTAATGAAAGCTGATAAATGCTAATTAAGAAAAAGACAAAAGTAAGAGGAAACAAGGAACGAGTT